TGGGGTTTTTTGCTTATCCTTTTTTGTCCTTTTTCCTTTCTTTTAAATTTGAGTTCTGCTCTCAAAGTTGAAGGTGCACTGACTCAAGATTCTTATACTAGGGGCTGCAGGCCCTGGCTGTTTACCTGATACTACACTGATGTTGCCCTGAGGCTCATGGGTGACCCTAGTGTCTGAAGCTGTGCTGGGGAAGGGGGTGAAGGGTGGCTGACACTACTGGAGGCCATAAGGGTCTGTTAGCTTACCTCATGCTGAACCAGGGTCCTAGTGCTGGTGTCTGGCATGTGCTGACAGTTGTGGGGAGTTTCTGCATTTCCCCAGGGCTACATTGAAGTACATGGCTGTCTGGCCACTGGTGGCTACCTGTTTGTCCAGGTCTATGCTGAAGCAAATAACAGTTCTTGGAGATGGAGTCTTCCAGTTTCCCTGCATATGCTAAGGTACATGGGGGTCTTGGTGTTGGTGTTTGCCTGCTCCACTGTACTGGGGCTCGGGATCTCCCACTGGTTTGCTGAGGTGGGGCTTGCTACTGGCTTACTGGGACTCCTCTTATCCTGGACTGCATTCCCCTTTTGCTTGAGTGAAAAGACCTTTCTTGGTGATTTTCCAAGTTTCTTAGGATAAAAGATTTTTTTCACCTAGTCTTTTTTTCTAGTTCCACCATTTCAGGATTTGTTTTGGGGCACTATTTAATGATTGTTTGCAGGCAAATGTGGGAGAATTACAGATATTTACTGTTTACTGCATCCACCCTGGCTCCTGGAAGTCCAGGAGTCTGATACCCATATCTTTTAAAGGAAGGCTGTTCCCCCTACCAGGGAGATTTCCACAATCATCAGCTGTGGAAACACCAACTGTGGGAAATATGACATAAATGATTTGTGTGCTCTCCCAAATCTGACATTCTATGTTCCAAAGTCCTTAATCACTGTGACATTCTATGTCCTAAGGTTGCTTGTAGGCTCATAACTTCTTTATCCTAAGGTCCTTTAATGTTTCAGTGTTCTATATCCTAAGATCCTTCCCAGCTCTCACATTCTATTTCTAAGCTTCCTTCTAGTCCTGACGTTTGCTATCATAAGTATCCTTATGCTTCTGACAATATGTATTTTAAGATGGTTCTCATCTTTTATAATATTTTAAGAATCCTTCCAACTCTCAATTTCTTTATTCAAAGGACCCTTTCAATTCAAACATTCTATGCTCTAAGGTTCCTCCTCCCCCATTTTATATTCTACTGTTTTATATTCTGAAAGTTCTAAGAGTCTCTCCTCCAATTTCTACATGTTTAAGGGGGCCTTCCAGCTCAAGCACTCTATGTTCTATGATTTTATGAGGCTAATCAATTTGTTGTCCAGGCCATGGGAACAGATAGTAATGCCAGAGTCTTCTCAAGGCCAAAAACTGGAAATGCAGTAGGGCAGGGAGCTTCCATCTGCAGTTAAGAGGGAAAGATCCCTCTGTAGCTTTCATCTCTATGGGAATAGCAAATGATGGGACAGGGAGATTGTACAAGCATATACACAGGAATGTTAGAGAGCTGAATGGGACCTGGAAACCACAGAGTGATGAAGTCAAGTTTATGCATTCTGTATTGGTGAGATGCCTCAATACAGAAAGAGGGCAGGAGAGATAGAGTATTTGTTGAGAGGCAGAAAATACTGTGGTGAGGGTGAGGAGGGAGAAAGACTGGTTAAGCTTGAGAAGTATGCATCAATAGTGGCAGCACCAAGTCATTTTGCTTTGAAAGTCTCATGATGGAAAATGCTATCCACACCCAGAGAAAGTACTTTGGAGTTTGAATGCAGATCAAAATATATTATTTACTCTTTTTTTTCTTGTTTTGTTTTGTTTTTTCTTTCTTGTGGTTCTTCCTATTGGTTCTAATTCTTCTTTACAACATGACTAATGTGAAAACATGTTTAATAGGAATGTATGTGTACAGCATATATGAGATTGCACTCCATGTTTGGGAGGGATGCGGGGAGGAAGGTAGAGAAAATTTAAAATTCAAAAGCTTATGGAAGTAATTGTTGAAAACTAAAAATTAATTAATTTAAAAAAGACATTTTGCTCTGAGACCCTTTCCTCTTTGTTATCTATGTCCTATGTGGCATGTTTGGAGTATTAATAGATACTTGGATTGGTCGGGGGTTTTGTGGCTTCATTGTTCCAGCACCTTCATAAGACATTTATGAGTATGAAGAAGCAAGTGATGAGGAGATAGTACAGTTTCATATAAGAGAGAGCCAATAGCTATGTGAGTGAATATGTATCTGGGATGTTTATGGAGGAAGAAGTACAGCAGCTGCTACTGATAGATCATTATTAGATCAACCACAACTCTAGAGCCTGTTTAGAGATTTGGTAATGTGCTTCCTGCCTTCACAAAGGGTTTTACTGTGGAGTTTGAGAAACTAGTGAAGAACATTGAGCAGTATATCATTCTTGCCCTTCCTCCCTGAATTTCTTGTGTGTTGGCACTGTATTTGACACCTCTCTCATGGCCAGTGGTGGCACGGGTGAATCTGTGTGATAAGACTCTACCAATGTGTCTTGCATCTTATCTCTGAAAAAAAAAAGCAATTACCAACAAGGTAAGTTTCTGTTGTGTTGGGGGAAAGAGGATGCTATTGGGAAATAACTACAATGTTTTTTAAGCATCATTACGTTTGTTTTTTAAAAGGCAATCACTCAAGACTTAGCCCAATCAACTTCTAGGCATGTCTGAAAGCCAAAGATGTGATAGGACGCTTTCTTCCTCTATCTCAAGAGCTCTCCTGGTACTGGAAATCTTGGGAAGTTCTTCTGTATACCACTGATGAACTTGGCCCAACCTAAGAGAAGGACCTTGATGTGGGTTTAAAAGGGAGTCTTGGGCAGGGCCAAAGAGTCTCCTCCCTTGGTTATGAAGCTAAGTCCCTTTGAGGAACCCAATGTCTCAACTGTCCCAGGTTAGACCAGGTGGCATGGGGCCAGATGCCTCATATGCTTCTATAAGTCCTTGATGCCTTATCTTGTGGCTTAATAGAAATGCTGCCCCACCCCATGTTCTGCCCCTTGTAAAGCTCTGTGGCCAAGTCTGTCAATACTAAACTTTCTCAGGAAGGGCTACTTTCCCTATCCCCTGGAGGAGATCTTCCTTCTGGTGTCAGCCCCTAGAATAACTGCATGACTCTGGGCTGTCACCTCGTTTTCCTAGGCACAAGACAACTTGTCCCATTTAACCAGCACCATCAACTCTATAACCTGATTTATCTCCACTAGAGTCTTTGAAAGGTGAATACCAGCTGCACCTACCATCATGCCCATCCCCTTCTCTCTTGATGTCAGAATGTTCCCAAGTTTTATTGCCTTTAAAATAGGGGAATATACAAGTTGTAAAATAACAGACACGAGCAAAGTCAAATATATCTCTGATGTCTGATGGTCAGAGTTCACAAGATATCAGAGCTAGAAAATAAATTAGTCATTGAACAGGTGCAGCCCTACATGAACTTGAATCCTACACAAAATTCCTGGCAAAAGCCTTTGCTTGAAGACTTCCAGTGATTAGAGATCTCACAACTGTTTGGGATAGCTCATTCCACTTTTAGACAGTTCTACATTTTTCTATACACGAGGTCAAATCTGCCCTCCTATACCTTGCACCTAATATCAGTTATGTGTGTGTGTGTGTGTGTGTGTGTGTGTGTGTGTGTGTCTGTGTCTGTGTGGTGAATGGGGGGAAAGGAAGAGGTAGATGGAGGCTCAAAGGAGCAGTGCCTACTTTGCTCCCAAAGGCCATTATTTTGCAAAAAAAAAAAATGTTAGTGATAGTGGAATAGAAAGAATTTCTAATGTTTGGAAGTAGTGAGATTTATGTTGAGAAAGTATTTGGTATGGCAGTGGTATTAAAAATGGAGAAGCATCCCTGGAGTCAAGAGAAAAAGAATACAATGGTGATTTCCAGTCCATGTACTACTGTGGTTTGAGGAAATGAAGCCCAGTAGAAGAAGAGTCTAGGCATCGAGGGAGGAAATATGAAGGAGTATGTTAGCATAAGGGTCTGTTGGGCCCCTTTTGCTGAGAGAGAGGACCTCAGTCTTCCTCTTTATTGCCCACACCCTAGCCCTGGACTTTAGATTCATAAGAGATATTAGCAAGAGTGACAAAGGAGGGAGATTCTTACTTTCATAAAGCATGGAGAACTAAGTGAATTTCCACGGATCTTCCTAGAGCAGTTGTTATCTGTGCTCAAGGTATAGGCTGGGCTTCTTCTTAGGAAATCAGTTAAAGGGACTTGAGGAACACTTCTCTGTTATCCAGATTACTGGGGAGGAAAATGTGTTGCTCTAAAAAATGGAAGGACTTCAAAATGAAGAAGACGAGAGAAAAATTTCATGATAGACTCCATTACACCCCCATTCATTAGAGTCCATTGAAGTACAGCACATCGGGGAGGAGCAATGTGTTTTCCCAGCAGATTCAAGCCAATACTCTCATTGTATAAATCCACACTGATCTCTAGACTAAAATGTTGTTGTTGTTCAGTCTTCTCCAACTCTTCGTGACCCTATTTGGGATTTTCTTGGCAAAAATACCATCACGGTTTGCTATTTCTATCCCTAACTGAGGCAAGCAGGGTTAAATGCCTTGCCCGGGGTCACACAGCTCAAAAGTGTCTGAGGCCAGATTTGAACTCAGGAAGAAGAGCCTTCCTGACTCCAGGCCTGGTGTTCCATCCACTGCTCTACCTTGTTGCCCAGAGGGAACAAGAGAGAGGGAGAAAAAAGGGGAAGGGAGCAGAGTGAAGGTGAAGGGAAAAGCAATAGAAGTTAGAGACAAGGGGTGAGAGAGGGGAAGTCAGAAAGCATCAGGGAAGTAGCAAAGGAGAATGCCATTTCAGCAAGCCCCACCTCTGAACTGGGGTGTCCAAGAGGTAGCTGGCAGAAAACACTCTGCGAAGTTTCTCCAGCTCCCTTATGTCTAGGTTTCTAACCCCTGCTTGTTGTCCCCAGGCTCCAGATACTGAAGAGGGTATTTGCTATCTTCAGGAGCTGAGCCGTCTATTCAGTGATGTCCACATCTGGTGGATGGGGCCATTCACTCCCACGATAAGACTCAACCATCCCCAGGTCATCTCCCCCTTGCTTAAGGCTTCAGGTATGGCACTTGGTTTTCTGTGGGCCTAATTTGGAAAGGGAGACCTAGGTTTGGTAGGGGGCCCAAGGACAGAGTGAGAATCTGGGGGAAAGAACACAGATGGTGAGTCAGAATCCATTCCAGTCTCAGCTTCTACTCTGATCATGTCTGATATTGGGCAAATCTCATTACCTCTCTAGACTTCATTTTACTGATCTGTAAAAGAGAGATGGTAACTGTCCTGTCTACCTTATATTTGATTTAATATAATCTAATAAAAATTATTATGGATGTATGAGGTTCTGTCCTGTGCTTCTCATGTAAATAGCAATGATAAGGCGCTTCTTTCAAGGAGAATAAAGACCTTGTCTACCGAGATATAAGGGAAGTGGAAGAGTGAGGTGATGCCATGCTTAGACATGGAAGCATGATACATGTGATGGAGGGGGCGGAGAAAGAAAAAGTACTCTACGAAAAACGGAGGTTGAACAAATCCCATTTAATTAGGATGATCAAGTAAGGCCTCAAATAGGCAGCTTCTGGGGTGGAGCCTAAAGAAAGGAAAGCGGAAGTCAGGAAGGAATGGGTTTATCGTATGTGTGACAATGTGCAGGAATGCCTGTTGGCAGGGGAAAGCAAGGTTGGATGGGGACAGTTGAATCCTGGATGGAGGAGTTTAGCTAAATGTGTGAACAGAGGCAGACAGCTAGCTCACCAGGAAGATCACCGTTGGGATTCAAAAAGATCTTGGCAGACCAGAATGTTAGGCTGAACTGAATAAGATGAATTTTAATGAGGATTAAATTTTATTTGGGAACAAGTACTTATTTTCACAAGTGCAAGATGGGGAAGTGTGGCTATATAAAAGCTAATCTGAAAAAAAAATCAGTCTTGTGATATGATAACTAAGAAAGTTAATGAGATTGGAGGCATATTGAAAGAGGCATGAGGTCCAAGACTAGGGAAAAAAAATAGTTCTGCTTGATTGGACTCTGGTGACCAAGGACTCTGCTTTGATTGCACCACTTTTGAGTATTGTGTTCAGGTCAGAGTGCCATATTTGAGGAAGAGCATTGATGAGGTGAAGCAGAACCAAAATGACAAAGGGTCTGGAGCTCCTGTGATGATGTGATTGTTCAAAAGAACTAGGGAAGAGAAGAGAAGAAGAAAAGAAAACTTACAATTCTTTTCTTCATGTATAGGAAGGGCTGTCACACATAAGGGGGACCAGACTTTTCTTCTTAGTCCTAGAAGACAAATGGGTAGAAGTTACGAACGTGTAAACTCAGGCTCCATGTCAGGAAAAAACTTCCTGACAATGAGGATTCTCCTGAAGTGAAAGCTTCATCATCTATAAAATGGGAATGATCATAGCACTTATTTGACAGGGTTGTATATTCTGTGGAATGCGTCCTTCCAGAGGTTCATTCAGTGCTGAGTCAGGGCGAGAAGGCCATGGTTGCCCAGTTGTGGGAGAAGAATCACAGATAGAGAAGACAAGGGCAGCACTGATACGTAAACAAATGGCTTGACACTGATCCCCTGTAGATGGGAGAAACAGTGTAGCAGAGTGGACAGGGATTCAGGAAGTCCTGGGTTCGAGTCCCACTTCAGGTCCATTCTAGCTATATGTCTCTTAACTCTCAGTAGTGATGTAATTCATTTTTTAAGACTAGAAGGTGCCAAGCTACATGAGTAGAGGAAATTTTGTCACAAGGAGCCCCCTATACTCATGAAATCACAAGTCTAGCCTGTATCTGTAGTTCAGCCTAGAGAAGAGGATATATGGGCACCAGTTTACTCTCAGATTTTAAGCTGGCAAATTTAGGGGCTCTTAGGCATGGGCCTATCTGGTGTGACTGTTAGTTAACCTGGCACTGGAGGGAGTTAGTGAATTAGAGTGGAAAGATTACTGACTCTGAAGTCAGGGGGCCTGGCCTAAAATCCCTTTCCCTAGGTGACCTTGGGCAAGTTGCACAACCTCTCTGGGCCTCCGTTTCCTTCTCTGGAAAATCATGAGGTTCTAATTCTGAAGTGGGTAGCTAGGGTTCACAACGATTAGAGCACTGGGCCTGGAGTCAAATCTAAGTTTAAATCTAGCCTCAGACACTTACTAGCTGTGTCACCATGTTTGCCTCAGTTTCCTCATCTGTAAAATGAGCTAGAGCAGGAAATGTTAAGGCACTCCAGTGTCTTCAACAAGAAAACCATAACAAAGTCAGACATGACTGAAAAAGGACTAAACAAATCTGAAACCCCTTCCCGTTCTAGGGTCCCATGATCTCATGAACTTGTTTGGGTCATGGCTGAAGCAAAGAAAAGGTGTCAGACAGAAGGAAAGTTCCAGATACCCAGCATTTCCTCCCCAATGTGCTTAGTTTTTTTCAGGGTCTGTACATTCACTCACTCCGCAGATGGAGTAACTCATAGCTTCATGGGAGGGCATACTCTGGGTTCTCTTTTCCAGGGGAGTAAACCGGCTTGAGAGGGATGGAGATGTCAGACAAAGCTAAGAAAGTGACTCCAGACTCCAGTCAGCCCCTCTGCCCACCTGGCTCCATGTTCCTCCTGCCTCCTCAGGTGTGAACTCCTGCCTCTCCATTCTTCCCCCAGATACATAATTCCAAAGAGGGTTTGCTTTACACTCAGTCTCTGGTCTGCAGCCTCAGGGATGTGTGCTGTTGGTGGGTAGGGGCCTGGTGCCCCGTGATACGCATCTTCCACCCCAGTTACTTCAAGCCAGTCCTCCTGGCCGCAGGTAGACTTCCCCCCTCCCTTCTCCTCTGTGTTCCCTTGCCACTGAAAGGCTTGGTTTCTGCAGGCTCTGTGCTGCCTGCCTGCTCTAGGACGGGGAGAGAAGGAAGGAAGGAGCAGGAACATTTCAAGTCAGGCTCCAGAAACAGCAGGGGAAGAGAATCTTGGTTAAAGCAACTTTGTCTCCTGTTTATCTGGGCTCCCACGGATCTCCCTCCTTTAGCCAGCTGCTATGACTGGACTGCATTGTAGGCACTGGGGGCTGTCTGGTCTCCATTTGTGTGACTTCTCTGGGTCCAGGTCTCTGGCTGCGTCGGGCCACATCTGGGCTGTGTCTGAGCTGTGTTGCTGTTGTATTTGGGGCCATGTTTCAGACTGTCCTAGACAATGTCTAAGCTGTGTTGGTGCCACGTTTGGGGCTTCCTCAGGCCACACACAGGATATATCTGAGCTGTGTCTGAGATATATTGGTGGTATGTTTGGGGCCATGTCTCAGGATGTTCAGAGCCACGTGTGAGCTGTGTTGATGCTGTCTGAGGCCATCTCAGGCTGTCTAGGACTATAGCTGGGCTTTGGGGTACCATGTTTGGAGGCCATGCTTTGGACTCATATATAAGCAAAAGTGTTGCCAGGTTTGGGGGCATGTCTGGGCTATCCCTGAGACCTCATGTATGTTACATGCAAAGCCATGTCTGGGCTGTGACAAGGGATATAGTTAAACTTGTTTCCAGAATATTTTTCCAGAATTGCATCCAGTCATGACTAGAATATGTCTGGACCATGTTTATATGAAGGCATCTGGTCCTTATCTTAATGCTATGTCTAGAAAGATCATATCTTATGTGCCATGAGTTGGGGGGAAGGAAGAGGCACTTATACTCTACTGGGGCTGTGTAGAATTCTGGACGACATATCCACAAATATTATCTCTAAAACCCTGGCACTGGGACTGGGTGGGCAAGGGAGATTAGTCCTATGTGTGGCATATCCCAAGGACCATATCTATGGCATGAGAGCAGCCTGGCATAATGAATAGAGCACTACCGTTAAAGTCAGAAATAGCTGGGTTCATATACTGTCTCTGACATATACTAACTGCACAATCATAGGCAAAGTACTTAACCTCCCAGTGCCTCAGAAAACTCTAAGAGCATAAGCTTCAGATGAGTAGAAGATACACGGTGATTTTTAGAGTTCCCACAATGGAAATTCTCTACATCAATGAAATCAAAGGTTTAAAAGTGGGGAGCAGAAAGTACCCAAGTCATGTCCAAGTCCACATGTGCATTGTGACTAAGTCCACATACATGTCTGGGGCTATCTATAGGGGTATGTCTTGGGGAATGTCTAGGTCATTTCTGGGTCATATTTGTGGGAGGAATATCTCCCTCTCAAAACATCACAGCCATTATTTGTCTTGGTTCATGTCAAGAAGGTGTATAGTACATGTGTTGGGGTGGGTGGTGCATAATACCATGTTGGGGCTGTGTTGGTAATGTTGGGTCAAGTCTGGACCATATCCAGAGTTCTTTGCATCAACTCTGGGGCCTTCCTTAGGTTGTATCTACTCAGCATAGCTAGGCGTGTGTGGCCATAATATGATCTCCACTCTCTTTCTCCTGCCCTCTGCCTAGCCTTACCTCCTTACCCACTCCGTTCTCTGCTGTCCTTCTCTTCTTGTCTTGTCCATGCTGGGCTGAGAGGGGAGCTGGGGAGATGATACAGGAAGTGAAGCCCCAGTTACTTTTCTCCCTACTTAGAGCTTGGGACCCCAGCCTTTGGATAACCTCTCCTCCTTTGACCTCTTCTGGCTGTTATACACTCCTTGTTTTTCCCCTTATCCCCAATTATAGTCATGTCAGGACTCTGAAGGACCTATCTCTCTCTCTTACAGCTATTATTGCACCCAAGGACAAATTGTTCTATGGCTTCCTGAAACCTTGGCTGGGTGAGTGATGTGTAGGAATAGGACCTGGGGAGAAGGCATTGGCCAGGGGGTGGAGGGTGGGATGTGTTGGTCAGGAGGACTAAGGAAAGGATATTTGTGACCTGGGGGATTGGGGATTGGATGAAGGCAGTACTTGGGAGTCTAGGAGCTAGGTTCTGGACTATTTGAAGCCACGGAGGACTAGGATGGAGTCCTTGCTTGGTGGGGCTTGGGTAATGGGGCTGGAATATTGGTATTTGGGAAGCTTAGGGACTCAAGACTCCCTAGAAGTGGAAGCCTAGGATTGGGAGCAGAGGTTCTATGGATTGAAGGCTAAGGAATTGGGGTTGGGGGTATGGCTAAGGACCTAGTGTTTGGGGCCTTGGGATTGGGCTAGGGGCTAAGAGTTGGGAAAGGTAATGGAAGACTAAGCTGAGGGCCACATCTGGTTCTAGGGCCTGGGAGGCTGGCCTGAGGCCCAAGATTTGGAGAATGATCCCTACCACCATCTTTCTTCAAGGGGATGGGCTTTTGCTGAGTAAAGGAGACAAATGGAGCCGGCACCGGCGCATGCTGACCCCAGCTTTTCACTTTGATGTCCTTAAACCTCATGTGAAGATCTTCAACCAGAGTGCAGATATCATGCATGTAAGCCTCGAGGAGCCAGTCAGGGTGAGAGGGAATCCATCCAGAGCTGAGCCTGCACAAAGTGAATTCCCTTCCAGACCAGTCTGGGCCTCAGGAGGCATAATGGGGACCTTAGTACCATCTATGTTTTCTTGGTTAGAGTGCAATAAGTTTAGGGCTGTGGGGCAGAGACCATGATCACCATCACCCAGGAGCCTCTTCCAGGATCTTGCAGGTCAGTTTCCAGTCCACATAACCTCATCTCCTCCTTATATCTTGGGAGGTATGGAGGGCAGTACTGATTATCCCCATTTTACAGATGAGGAAGGAAGATCTGATCTAGAAAGGTGCTGTCACTTTTCTAAGGTCACACAGTGTTTCAATGGCAGAGCAAGAACTAGCTCTCAGTTCCTGACTTCCCACAATAGATCTTTCCATCCCAATGGCAAATTCTCAATGTGGCTCATAGCCCTGCTTTTCTCCCTATATCAAACATAGACCTCTCCCTTGCTCTTTCTGGGTACCTGAAGAGACAGAAATCAATGGGTCAGGGCCTGGAGAAGGTGAGCGCCAACTAACTTTCTCTCCCCTCTCTCTCTCTCTCTCTCTCTCTCTCTCTCTGTATTCTCTCTCCCTCTCTGTGTCTCTCTTGGTCTGTGTCTGTCTCTGTCTGTGTGTCTCTTTCTCTCTCTGTGTCTGTCTGTGTCTCTCTGTCTCTGTCTCTCTCTCCCTCCCTCTCTCTCTTTCTCTCCCTCTCTTTCTCTCTCCCTCCCTTTCCCTCATTCCTCCTCTCCCCCTCCCTCCCTCCATCACTCTTCTCTCAGGCAAAATGGAGGCGCCTGTGTGCTGAGGGCAGCAATTACCTGGACATGTTTGAACACATCAGTCTCATGACCCTGGATAGCCTGCAGAAATGCATCTTCAGCCACAACAGCAACTGCCAGGAGTGAGTCTCAGCCTAGCCCTTAGCTTTGGGCACTCAGGACCTACAGTTGAGGAACTGGAAGCCTGGGGGAATGTGGGAAGGGAGGACTCCAGGGCAGAGGGGATGTGCAGTGTTGAGGACAGAATCTGGAAGGATTGGGAAGCAAGAGCAACTTCAAGCTAATGTGGAAACTGGGGGCCACATACATGACTGCCTGGGAATGACAGGCAGGGTAGGGCCATGGGAAGTGGAGTCAGTTGACATGGGTCTAACCTCAGTCCTCTTATTTACTGCTGGTGTGACCTGAGGCAAGTGGTTTAACTTCTCTGGGACTCATTTTTCTCATCTATGTTATGAGAGAGTTGGGCTACATGATCTCTGAGATCCCTTCTAGTTCTAAATCTGTGTTGCAGTATCTATGATGCCCCTCTGAGAACTCTGGGAGCTGCTTGGAGAAGGGCCTGGGTATGAGTCCTGGGGGAACCTGGGGAGCTTCAACAACATGTTAAGGGAAAAAAAAAAAAAATATATATATATATATATATATACACACATGTATAATACTTATATATAAATATATATACCCATACATATATGTGCATGTGTATCTATATCTATGTCATCTATATTTATATCTTTATCATCTCCATATTATTGATATCTATATCCATATCTATGTTTATATCTATATGTATATCCATATCTATATCTACTTCTACATTTATATCTATATCTATATCTGTATCTATAATGAAAATAAGGTCATTTGTCCAAAGGCAGCAGAAGAGTGAAAGCCTGGAGGAGACTTTGTGAAATGGAATAAGCTTGTAGGGAAATATTTTAATAGCACTGGCTCCACCCTAATAAAGACATCACCAGGCCTGATTATAGTGATCTCCCTATGTAGATTGCCCCGGCTTTGCTCCCTAGAGAGTCAGATAGGCTCTAGGCAGTTACAAATAAGGGAGTTCACCTATCTAGATTCAGGCCATCCCCTGGCTGGGAAGATGTTGCATTTAATTGCTCTGGCTGGGGTCAGCAGTGGTCATTTGTATAAGTGGAACCAAGAGAGACCCTTTGATTCACTCTGTTTTTCTTAACAATGTCATCGGCAAACATGCCTCTTCTACCTTCTGTCGTTGTCTCTCTTCCCTTTATGGATCTACGAACTCAACATGGGTCTCTGTAGCATGGTGCACATTGTAACTCATCCATGTCTTCTTATCCTGGGCAGCTCTACTTTCTTGTTTGCATCCTCCTACATCTCTTCCATAGGGTGTCCATTTAGCAGGTTGGAAGAGGGGCTAGATGTGAGGTTTTTAACCTGGGGTCCACAGACTATTATCCCCCATTCCTCCAAGGATAAGCCTAAGATGCCTATGGCTAGATTTCAAGGGATATGTGAATTTGGATGGGAAAAATAGATTTTATTTTCCTAAACTTTAACTGAAATTTAGCATTTCCTTCAATTATGAATGTAGGCATAATGGACTTTGACACACGATGATCTAAGATGGAGGCTGGTCCCACCCACACGTCAGGCCATTTAAGGCTATTTTCTTTCAGAAGCAGATCCAGACCACCTATGAAAAAGGCATCCATGTGGGAGAAGGCAGGGCCTGCTTCTGGGAGAAAATATCCTGCGGATGGCTTAACGTGTGGGGGCTCTATCGTTAGTGATATGGGCATTCTCCAAAATCCTGTTGAATTGGCAACACACATTACCTGAGAAAGGGTCCAGAGTCTTCATCATACTGCCAGAGGGGTCCATGACACAAATAAGGTTGATAATCTCTGCTCTAGATCTCTAGACATGACATGGGTATCAATGAAACACACAAGAGGTCCTTCTCTTATCTTTTGCTTACTGACTGAATAGCCCACATACTTTCCTGGTAAGGAATCTTTTCTGTCACTGTGGGTACAGAATTTGTCATTGATAATACATTCTGCAGCCTATTTATGATCACCATGTATCCCTCCATTGCCTTTTGGGAAATTAATCATCTTGATTCCTTAGAGAGTGTGGTATTTGATCTTTCACAATCATATAATATCATTGAAAGAATATTGTGAAATGATATTTGGTTTCTGGTAGAAGTTTGGGATAATTAAAATCATTGTGTAATTTCCGTAATGCAATCCAAACTACTCTCCCCTATTTTACCCTGAGCCTAGGTCATTTTGCTTCTGCTATCTATGAAGCTCTGTGGATTATCCATCCAAATGAATATCATATTCTGGACAATAGGTAATTTTCATCCATTTGATTTTTCCTGTGTGAATTGTTTGGGCAAACATTCTAATTGATTATACACCTTATATTGGAGACACCAGAATGCACCAGGGCTTGATGCAGTTAGCACAATGTCATCCCCAAACAGTGGCATCTGAAGGACTTCCCTTTCTTTAGGAAATCCTCTTTCCATTTTAGACTTTACTAGATATCCTCCAAGGCAATTGCAGACACCTTTGGTGAGCATGTGATTCCTTAGCTTATGCCTCATTTTCTATTGGTAATGAGAAGGTCATCAAGTTTTCTTTGTTTCTGTAGAGGAGTTATCCAAAGATTATTATATGGCCTTAACAAATGCGTGAAAAATAGTTTGTTGAAGGAGAAACCATAAGGCTGCACTTTGCTCTACTCAGTTAAATTTCTTTTAATAGTCATCAATCTTTTAATGGGACATCTAGGTGGTCAGGGCTGGAGTCAGGAAGACCTAAGTTGAAATGTGGCCTCAGAGGCTTACTAGCTGTGTGACCCTGGGCAAATCATTTAACCCTGTTTGCCTGAGTCTCCTCATCAGTAAAGTGAGCTGGAGAAGGAAATGGCAAACCACTCCAGTATCTCTGCTATGCTAACTCCTAATAGGGTCATGAAGAGTTAGACATGACAGGAAAATGTCTCAACTCCTTTAAAACCTAAAAATTGTGCTGCTTCCTCTTCACAAGGACCAATTGCCTTTCCTATCTTTGTTTTCTTTACCATCATTTTTACTCCTTTGTGCAACTTGCCAAAAATTGTGAGGTTTAAATGTGGCATCTAGATGTAGTGCTTCTGTCACTGATAGAGAAAATTATGCTATATAAATCTTGAGATACCTATTGTGTTTTTAATGTCATCACATTTCCAGTTTCTTCTTTCAGTTCTCTCAAGATAATCTGGTTTAAAAGGACTTCCTTCCAAGGTTCCTGTAAACTCAATTTTTTTCCTCTACCACTTTTTTTCCTCACATGAAATGTTAACACTGGTCATCATCTTCTACTATCCATATTCAAAATTGGCTTTATCCCTGACTGCCCTACCTCTCCATTTGGCAAGGATTTTGCTGGCTGAAGGAGCTTCTAGGGTCATTTGGCCTATTCCCAGTAGTGACTATTTTGCATTAATAAGCCTTCTGTAGAAAATAGTGACAGTTCATGTCAATATCTGTTTCTTTGTCCTTTTTCCATTTTTTGGCATTGATTGCATAGATTTTTCAAGGAGGAATATAAATCCTGATCATAGAGGAAGAGCAAGAAGGGACCTCAGATGTCATGTAGTCCAACCTACTTTTATCCCCCTGCCCAATCTTAAGAAATAAAACAAGCATTTCCATAACATGGTAGAACAGAGAAAAAAAAAGATAATTGTACATGAAACTGTAAAACCTTTTTATATATGAGGAAGCTGAAGGGGGGAGATTAAATGACTTCCCCAAGGTCACATAGTCAGGAAATGTCAGAGGTGGGATTTGAATCCCAGTCTTCTCATTCTATGACTTCCAGTTGGAAAGGTCTCCTAACATCTCACATAGAGATACCCTAGGAGAAAGGAATGTATTCAGAAGCTGATTTGGGATACAGACTATAGAAGCCTTTTGAGGACATGACTGAGACCTCAGGCAGCTCGTCAGCCTGGTCAGGTACATTGTTGTCCCTCTTGGAAGAACATACCCACAAAGGGATCCACAAAGGGCTAACCATTTCCCATGGTTGTGTTGGTCCACCTGGCTGAACTCCCACTTGTCTCCTGTTCTCTCCAGCACTATCAGGTTCTGCCCAGGCGGGGTTATTGTGTTAGCCTTCAGCTCCCAACCGCTGTTTCTTCCAGCTTTTATGTATTGAATGCAGTCCAGGGTGATGCTTAAGACTGCTCAGTGACACTTTCATCCTGGTGTGTTAACACAAGTTGTCAGCCACTCCACTTGGCTCCTGGCCCTGGAAGCCAGACTCTTCTCTTTTCTCTCTAGGCACAAATATCAACCAGACCATGGGGAAGCCCTTTTCCTTTCTCTACCCACCAGCCGGGTGTGGTGGGGGGCCGTTGTGAACTTGTTCAGAAGGAAATTATAGAAATTGTTCTGGGCTATGTAGAGTCTGAGGGGTCAGGTTTCTCTCCCTGCTGAACTTGACCTCTGACCTTGGACCCCATGCTTTGATCAGGAAACCAAGTGCCTACATTTCAGCTATCATGGAGTTGAGTTCTCTTGTGGTAAAGCGTTACAATCAGCCACTTCTATACTGGGATGCCCTGTACTATCTCACCAGCCAGGGAAGGCATTTCTCCCGTGCCTGCCGTCTGGTGCACGATTTCTCAAATGCTGTCATACAGGACCAAAGGTGTATCCTTGCCCAGCAGGGGTCTGAGGCCTTCCTCAGGGACAAGGCCAAAAGCAAGACCATTGACTTCATAGATGTTCTCCTGCTGGCCAAAGTGAGTATCAAGCTTGGAGGGGGGGAATGGGAGAAGACAGATGCCAGCAGTGCGTGTTCTAGGTAAAAGGGGTAGAGGTTTCTGCTTAGAACATCTAAGTAGAATCTCTCATTGGAAGGGAAGGGAGCAAGAACTCATCAACAGGGGCCTGTTCTAGGATGAAGATGGAAAGGCTCTGTCAGACAAGGACATCCAGGCAGAAGCTGACACTTTCATGTTTGGAGGTGAGCTTCAAATGGGACAGAAGGGGCAGGGCAGAGGGTCCTTGGGAAAGAGTCGGGGTTTTCCATTTACCTCTTGCCGTTGCTATCGGTCGCACTGATCCTTGCTTGAGTGAAGGTTAACTTGGAAGGTGTTTCACCAATCGCATGCCATAGGTTCAAGACCTAAAGCAGAGTCTAATGCTGGAGAGATGGGGATATTCTTTTCCCTGACAGGTGATGAGCTCTGGTCTTGTCTCCTATGGCTTCTCTGGAATGTTCTTCCTTCTTCTCTTTCCCACTCCCTAGGCCATGATACAACTGCAAGTGGCATCTCCTGGGTCCTTTACAACCTGGCCCAGCATCAGGAGCACCAGGACCACTGTCGCCAGGAGATACAAGAGCTCCTGAGAGGTCGGCAACCCGAGGAGATTGAATGGTCAGTGTGGGCTGACAGAAAGAAGGGAACCCTGAGTGGGGAGGGGGAACCATGAGTGTGCTGGAACTAGCTATGACTGCTTTGGAAGAGCTCATTATTAAATTTCCAGTGTCAGAAATCACAAATCAGGGCTCAATTTCTTGTTTTGTTGGCTGTCTAGACTTAAGAAGATGAGGGAGAAAGGGTTCCTGATGCAGAATAAACTTAAAAGAGTATGTGTCCATATATTTCCCTCCCTCCCAGCCTAGCTGTTCAATATTTCCCAGCATACCCTTGTATTGTTCTATAAACATTGCTTGAATTCAGCAAGACTATAGTATAAGGTTCAGGGAATGAAGCCAGGCCCATGACTGCAGGCTCATGCTAACAGCAGCAATCAACATTTTAGAGCATTTGAAGGTTTACAAACTGCTTTGCACCCATGATCTCATTTGTACCACACTCCGTTCCTGGGGGGAGTCCCTAGGAGGAGATACAGAGGCCAACCTGTTACTCCATCTAGCTACAGCCCCAGTCACGTAGCTATTAGGTCTCTGGTTAACTTTCCTGAGATGCCACTTAGACCTCAAACCCTGGGCTACTTCTACATCCAAGACCTCTCTTTGAGTCCCATCCTCCCCTCCCCCAATTTTCTCTTCTTCAGCCATGGTCCCATTAGGATCCTCCAAAGTTTGAATGTAAGAGCCCTCTGACTTCTGGCTATCAAGGTCAACACTTAGACTTTTTGCCACCCTTTCACAGAATTTTTGACATCTAGGGGTTCATGGTCACTGAGTATCAGGATCCCATAGACTTTGCCTGTCCCTCAACCTCTGATTTTCCAGGTTTTAGATGTTAACATTGTGCCCTCTGCCCTGCCTTGGGATGGAGGAGCTTCTCCCCATCTCCACTATGCTGGAGCTCACAGGGTTCCTGTCTCCAGGGATGATCTGTCCCAGATGCCCTTTCTGACCATGTGCATCAAAGGAAGCCTCCGGCTGCACCCGCCAGTTGCCATGATCTCCCGCTGCTGCACCAAGGACATCCAGCTGCCTGATGGGCGAATCATTCCTAAAGGTTCGCTTGCCAGGGGCTCACACCAGGGCAAGGGGAAGGGGTTAAGAAGTCTTATGGTTAGGGCCCATTTGGGAGGTTAGTACAACTTATCGATTGGTAGAGTTTACAAGCTACATTAGGCTCTCTCCTATTCTGGCCAACAGGAAACATTTGCCTGGTCAGCATCTTTGGAACTCACTATAACCCTGCTGTGTGGCCCAACCCTGAGGTATCTGTCAACTCTCCACAGAAGCATCCCTGGACTAGTCAGTGCTGGAGAACTGGGACATTGATGGGTATGGGAGTGGGGCTCCACTCTAAGCCAAGCCATGGGAGGCCTGAAGGCAGGAGAGGGCAGCTTTGATTACCCCTGGAGATGGCTAGCTATACTGAAGAGAATCGGACAAGAGGGTGAGTGTATGCCTAGGGTGAAAAAGACCCTGTCAACACCCCAGGTTTTTGACCCATATCGCTTTGACATCAGCAAGTCCCAAAAGATTTCACCCCTGGCCTTTATACCCTTCTCAGCTGGACCCAGGTAAGTCCATACTTTCCCCACTTGATTTCCCCAGGTGATGTTTATACCTCCTCCAGATCAGTGTGGGGAGCTGTGCCCAGCAAAGGCCCTGTTCCCATGTCCCCATCAAAGGAGTGGGAGGCCCATCTCAGTATGGGAGGACCCTAGAAACAGCCTGGGGTCAAGGTCTGGGAATTGTCAGCCCCTCCTTCCTTGAGCAGGAACTGCATTGGCCAAAACTTCGCCATGTCTGAGATGAAGGTTGTGCTAGCCCTCACCTTACTGAGGTTCCGAGTCCTCCCTGATAAAGACCCAGTGCGAAGAAAGCCAGAAATTATTCTCAGAGCAGAAAGTGGTCTGTGCCTGAAGGTGGAGCCACTTTTGGGTCCTTCCAGCCCTGAGGCACACCTCTCAGAAGCCCCTCAGGAATGATGGCTGGATGTATCCTTCTGCTTTGGAACATGAATGCCTGCTTTCTACCTGCCCATCCACCCACCCTTACCTTGATTGTAATTCTTCTAAATAAAAACATTTCAACATGGAATATATTGGCTTTCACTTTGTGTCTCTTTGCCTAGAGAACTAGAGGACTAGGGCCAAGAGAGAGAAGCCAGGGTTCTGTGTTTCTAGCCCCAGGCTCTGGAAGGAAAAAAGAGAGGGCTGGAAGGTACTTACAGCTCAGCCTCTACCAGGTCCCTGGGGTCATTTAACATCCCATTTCCCAGATTCCCATCCAGTCAGAGGAAGAGGTCATAGGATAACAGGTGTAGAGCTAAAATGAACTTCCCAAGCTAAACTGAGGATTAGGGAGATGAAGAGACTTGGTCAAGTCACACACAATTAAGCACCAGAAGCAGGATTAGAATGGATGTCCTCTGACTCCTTTCCACTGTACCCCTCCCTTACACATAGCTACTTCTCTCAACCTCACTCTGATTCTGTGCCTTACATCTTAGTGTTCTCACTGCCACCAATAATCCACATGCAAACCTACTTCCATGTACCCCAGAGCCAATGTATTCCACAATACCTGACAGCAGCATCTTACACAGGACTACAAAATAATGGGCAACTGCAGACCAGACCAGCCTCTGGGGAACAACTGCTCCTATTTTTAAATCCTATGTATACTCTGACTCCAACATGACATCCCTGAGATTTGATGTTCTGCAGCAGCATGGGCCAGGATGGGCAGAGTGCTAGGTTTGGAACCAGCAAAACCTGAGTTCAAATCCTACCTCATATTCTTACTAATTGTGTGACCCCAGAAAGGTCAATTAGCTTCTCTGGGCCTCAGTTTCCTCATCTGTTAAATGAGAGGACAGGACTTAATGGCCTCTAAGATCCCTTCCAGCCTAAATCTCTGATCCTATGACTATATGTCCTAACATTCCTTCAAGGGTTTGATATGCTAACATTGTGTGTTTAATATTGGAAAGTCTCTCTACAACCTATGATCCTATGATAATAGTTCTGCCCAATAGTACCCTTTTGGCAGAGTGGGCATATGGACCTCCTGGTAAAAGGCGGGGGTATCAAAGTCAAATAGAAATGGAGGCCAATAATGTGTACATAAGAATCTCTAAGGCCACATATTAACTGATTTAAAATATAATATCTGTTTTCTTTAATTTTTGTTAATTTTGTTAAATATTTCCCAATTATATTTTAGTCTGATTCAGACCACATGAGGGAATGTTGTGAGCCACATCCTTCCCATAGGCTGTGGACCTGACATCTCTGAAATAGGGAATTCCTACTAAAGCAGAAAGGCAACTAACTGTTCTGCAACTTGCTGCTGTAGAGTTGTCTGAGAGGTTTAGTGACTTGCCTAGGATTTGTCAGAGGCATAATTTGAACTCAGGTCTTCCTGACTCCAAGGCAGCTTTCTAGCCACCACACTTGATGCTGCTGCTGCTGATGTTAATGATGATGACACAGTTATACAGGGAGGTATCATGACATAGGAAAGTGAAAGCTGATCTCAGAGACAGTACAACCTGGGTCTGAGTCCTGTCTCTGACACATTCTGACTGTCTAACCATGGCAAGGCACTTTACTGCACAGAGCCCCCAATCAGCTCTCTAGAGTACAAGGTGTCGAGAAGCTGATGACCTGCATTGGCAAAGGAAATTCCTCACTAGGAGCCCCCTACTCCAGGGAAATCATAGGTTCAGTCCCTGTCACATGTGTGCAGAACTTTAAGTTCTACAAAGACATATCTACCTAGCACATTGTCTCTGAACACCAAAGACACAGAGGCATCAAAGACCTCTTTGAGGATTCAGGAACTCCAACATATAAGGGCATATGGCTACAGTGAGCACATAGCCCCACTCTGCATGTACACAGAGAGTGTGGTCACATGTCTGTTTCTGTTGTCATGTTCTTGAGAGATCCTGTTAAGTCATCAATCCAGGTGTCTCTGGGGCCATGTTACATTGCTAGATAGATTGGTTTTTAGGGCATTGTTGACCCAATGTAAGTGTAATTTCCTTCAATTCCTTCTAGGTTGGGAATTTCTTGGATCTACTTTTCCAGTGTTATCTGTGGGCAGCCCTCTGCTGTTTCTCAGTCAACAAAATATGGAGTCAGGAAGACTGGCTTCTTCTGTTACCCCATCAGCACTAGATTTTAGTACATGTCTGACATTAGTTGACATTTTGGGAATCACAAAATAGCCTAGTCTTGAAGAGGGCCCAGGTGCCAAAGATTCTATAAGAATAGAACAGCAGAGAAAAAAGCTTTAGGGGTGGTGATTTGGGGGAGTTGAGGGTGTCAGTTTAGAGTCACATGACCACATGGACCTGGAAGGGAAACGGGTAGGGAACAAGTATTTATTAAACACCTGCAATGTGCTAAGTGATTCACAAATATTATTGAATTTTATCCTTGCAACAGCCCTGGGAAGTAGAATCTATTAATATCCTTATTTTGTAGTTGAAAAACTAAGGCAGACAGAGGTTAAATGATTCGTCCAAGGTTACACAGCTATTAAGGCTCTAAAGAGATTTGAATTTATGTCTTCCTGACTCCAGGACCAGTGCTCTATCCAAGGTACCCTGTTTCCTCTGAGGAAAGGATCTCAAAAATACGATCATAGCTAAAGAAATGGAAAATATTTTTGGGATTATCTAATCCAGGGGAGGGAACCTGTGACCTAGAGGTCACATGTGGCCTTCTAGGTCCTTGGGTGTGGCCTTTTGAGTCCAAGTTTTACAGAACAAATCCTTTTACTAACAGGATTTATTGGATTAAATTCTAATGCAACATCCTCATTTGATAAGGAAGGAAGCTGTGGCCCAGTGAGGAAAAGGGCCTTGCTCAAGGAGACAGATAGTGGTACATTCAGGAATAGGAAAAAGGATTCCCTACTCTCTCTGATCCCTATACTCTGTCTTAGAGTCTCAGAGAATTGATAAAGAATCAGGAACCTGCCTGCAACTTGTGAGTAGTCCAAGCTATCTCACTGGGGACCTGACTCTTCAAATCTAGCAGCTCAGCTCCTCCTCCCCTTTTCTCTCCTCCCCTCTCTTCCCTCTCCTCTCCTCTCCTGTCTTCTCTTTTCTTTCCTGCACATGGGGTATCATGCCCTTTCCTGAGGGTGCTCTGCCCAAAAGAAGGTAAATTTTCATGGCTGACACATACCTTGATATCATGGAGTTTACTGGCTAGATTTCTGTCTTAAAGATCATGCCTTAAACCCAATTCACATCCCCTCCCAGTCTGTTTGTTTTATTAATGGGGCCATCCCTTAACCTCACTTCTCACTAATCACTGAATGGTCATTGCCTCAGTCAAAGTGAGAACTTGGAAAGACCTTAGCTTAAAAATCCAAGGTCTTCCACTTTATCCTGGGCCATCTCCAGTGGTCCCCATCTGTATCTGGCCACTGACCACAGATTGCTCTGGAGGAGAACATGAGGCTAGTGATTTTGCACAGCCCTCCCTCAGTTAAATCCAATTCACTTGCAAGTTACGGTATCATCTTTCTGACGTCATGGGTCCTCTTTGAGAATGAAGGACAAAACACAAAATACACAACCTGTCATAGATGAAGAAATAGAACTTCAGGGAGGTAAACTTCTGTGCCCAAGTTTGCAGAACTGGTAAGGCAGCTTTTCCTATGTGCCAGGCACTGTGTTAAATACTGGGGATACTCTCAAGGAACTCACAGTCTAATGAGGGAGACAAGATGAAAACACCCATGCACCAACTGCATACATATGAGATAAATTAGAGATAATCTTAAAGGGAAGAAACTTACATTAAGGGGGACCTTTAGGGTCTAAGGTGCCTTAGAGAAGGTAAGATTTTTAGCTGGGAACTGAAGAAAATGGAGACAAGCAGAGAGAAGATTCCAGGCAGGGAGGACAATCAGTGAAACCCCCTTTGGCCCAATGTTACCCCTAGTTTTAGAGATCTTGGAATTGGGTTGTTTGGAGCAGAGAATATATTTGGGAGCACTTTGTATATAGGTTGGCTGTTGTCCTTCATTCTTGAAGAGCACCAAAATGACATCACTCTGCTAGAGACAAGTTCCAGTGTGTCCGACTGTGTTTGATCAGACCAATATGAGCTCGGAATGCTCTACCACAGGCAAAGCATGAATAATCCATGTGAACATTTGTGGTGGATTCTCTAAATTTGCGTATCTTACTTTTCTTTTAATCTATCTCAATTCTGCTTTGCTCATAGAGCAGAGCACCTTCTCTGATGTGGGAATGCCGTGCTGAGTGGTCCCCCTGCCAGTGTTCCCCATGTTACACAACCGATTCCAAAGGTCTTAAGAGACACCTTGAGAGTAACTTTGTATCACTTCTTCTGACCACTATGTGAACACTTGCCCTGTGTGAGTTCTCCATAAAATAGCCTTTATGGCAAGTGTACATTTTGCATTTGAACAACATGGCCAAGCCATCAGAGTTACACTCTCTGAAGTTGAGTTGAATACTAGGCAATTTAGTTTGAGAAATGACCTCAGGGTCTGGCATCTTATCCTGCCAGCTGATCTTCAGAATCTTCCTAAGACAATTCAAATAGAAGTGATTCAGTTTCCTGGCATGGCTCTGGTATACTGTCTAGGTTTCACAGGCATACAACAATGAGGTCAACACAAAGGCTCTGTAGACCTTCAGTTTACCTATTCTCTCCCACACTTTCCTTTGGAGCCTCCCAAACACAGAACTAGCTCTGGCAATGTGTGTGTTAACTTCATTATCAATGTGTACATCCGTGGAAAGGACACTACCAAGGTAAGTGAACTTATCCACAGCATTCAAAACTTCTCCATTTGCTGTAATAGATGGTTCCATGTGTGGATACTACGGTGGTGGCTGATGGAGAACCTGTGTTTTCTTGGTGTTAATTGTTAAGCTAAAATTAGCACAAGCAGCAGAGAACTGGTCCATAGTTTGTTACATCTCAGCTTCATTGGCTGCATTGAGTGCATAATCGTCTGCAAACAGAACATCATGCACTAACACTCCCTCCACTTTGGTCTTGGTTTGTTCAAGTTGAAGAATTTGCCATCAGTGTGGTAGC